CCAGCGAAGCAGGTCAGATGCTGGCCTCGTGCAACATAGGTGTACTTGGGTTGTTCGCCTGGCAAATCGGTCACCTGGTAGTCTCCAGAGATGAGGACCGGCTTGTCCGAAGGTGTCAATGCTCGCTTGAAAAGGTGCTTGATGGCAACAGGGATGAAGTTTTCGTATAGTCGGCGTGGCTGCTCTAGTTGGCCGCCAAGAAGAAGATACCACTTGGGAAGATACTCATACAGCGAGTCAGACATGCCACCAAGGGTGAAGTCTGAACCAGCATGGAAGGCTGGTGTATAAGCATCAACGACTACCGGCCACATGCCAGGAAGGCGAGTGTTGAGCTGTGTAGATTCAAACTGGTCTCCAATTCTCTTGACAGCGTCATAAAATCTCGGGTTGCCGGTTAGCTGAGATAGTTTAGTGAGCTCGAGACTCAAAGAACCAAGTTCAGAAACAAGAGCCTCCCGCGAGGGAGACTGAGCTTGGCCGTAAGCAGATCTAAGCATGTTAGCCACAATGTCAACATGTGATTAATGTCGAGGAAAACTCACTTCTTCCATTCCCATCGAGTAACTGGCATGTGGTTCGGTGTATCAAAGGCACACATGAGCAGGTCTCCCAGCTCAATAGCCTTCTTCAAGAGAATAGGATGAGCTCTTCCGCTCAATTCATATGCCGACAGGAATCCACCAAGATAGCGAATGTTGGTCTCGAAAATGTTGATAGTTGCCATGGGACTCCTGGTGAAATCAATACCGTCTGCAGCGGCAACAGCTTTGGTGAACTCGTCCTTCATGTCCATGATCCACAGGGTATCGAGGGCATCGACCAGAGTGGCAGCCCAACCGCCAAAGGGGTCCTTGGACTTGCCGGTCAACGGGGTCACCTCGTCGTGCATCCAGGCATAGTTGGAATACCCGCTCCAGCTGTGCTCGAAGCTCTTCTTGACTGCGGCCAATCGCGACAGTCGCAGCTCCTTGGCCGCGGCGCTCTCGACCGGAGCAGCAGCCTGAATCTTGGGGACCTTGACATCTCCGGTGATCTTTGGCAAGGAAGCTAGTTTCTCCTTGGGAATAGGATATTTAGGTAATCTTCGCGTCCAAGCTGTGGCGCCCTTTCCAGCAAGAGGATCTCCATTACCAAACAACTTGAAGCCAGAGTCCGAATTTGACCAGTACCAAAAGCACAAGATCCAGATGAAGGCGACGCCAATCCAGAGACGGCCTCGCCGTAGGGGACCCGCCATTGTGTGAAAAGGCAGTTAGTGGACTGCTAATAAGCAGCACAGGGTCTAGGTGAGAGAAGATAGTGAGGCGTGATCTGGGACCTCACATCGCAGGCCCAGGACGGGAAAAAGGCTGAGGTAAGTCCAAAGGCGTTGATGTTGGAGCTGTCAAAAAGATTGGCGATGTGTCTCGACTTGAGGGGGACCAACAGCAAGTCTCATCCAAGCCCGAGGCCGAGTCTAGACACGTCCCGTCTTATTAGAGCGAGAGGTAGGTAGGTACGGAGTACCTTAGGCTAGGTACGGATAAGAATCGAAGGGACAGGACGGGACCGGGGGGGGTATCAGAAAAAGGGCAAATGACTCTGGTTCTTAGTCGAAAAATAAACCCTCAATCTTCAGCGCATGAATGTCTGAAATCAGTGTCAGTGTATGTGGCTGAGAGCTGTCTCGTCTCTTCTGTCCAGTTGAAAATACGACATGAAATTGCGGCGGGCGGTCTCCATACGTCCATACGCCCATAGGTAGGTAGGTAATCACTAGCCTACTACCACGTGAAGGAATGCGCCGTACAAATATGTGGTAGTGATGAATCCTGCGAGTGCGGCATCTGACATGCTGTACGTACATATGTAGCTAGGTTGCTGGTATGGATGGTAGCAGCAGGGTCCTTTTCCTATTAATTACCTACCTACGGAGTACGGAGTACTGTGCCTGAAAACCTTCCCTTGCTTGGCATTCTGGACAGAACCGTTGTCAATGCGGTTTCACGAAGCACAAACGTTGGTTATGAACTCTTTTCGGTTCTCTTGCCCTGACTGGCCAATGCCACATTTCCCTCTCTGTCAACCCCTTTTGAACCCTTCCTTAATAAATGGCAGCAGACATCTCGAGACTTTGGAGAAAATCAGCTCGTACTCCTGTGGGGTCAAACCTAGCAGCTCCCTTGCAATATAATTAGACGATGTGGCATAGCCATGTACATAAGCTCCCGGCTGCCTTCTCCGACTGGTCTAGCTAAATATTTGGGCTTCGGTTCTTTGGAGCCTTATATCAGCCGTGAGCCACTCATATCCAGCAAGCTTTCAAGGGTTGGCTCCCTCAACAAAGGAGTTCCCATGAACGGATCCTCCCCCTGAGCAGCAAGATCAAAAGGGTAGCTTGAGTTTGACCATTCATGGCGAGGGAGTATGCATGTCAATCATGTTCTGTAGTTTCGGCAGTCATGTTTATGTTTGTACATATGTATGTATGTATGTATGTATGTCCAAAGAGGCTGGGCATGCTTTGACCTTTTTGAGGCCCTGGATTAGTATGTAGATACCCACCCTTATTAGACTACGGAGTACAGGCATTATGCTCGATAAGCCACGCTTCCAGGCTCCCGCCCTGTGGGCTGTAGGGCTGATTGTTCCTCCATGTCATGGCCCAGCGAGAAAATTGGCTCCAACGGCGGACACGTTTTCCAGACCGCCCGCCACCGATTCGTTGCCCCTCACCAAAGCCATTGGATGGTAGGCCATCAGTTGATGCAGACTGGCTATCGTAGCAATCACAAATTTGACAACAGTAAATATACGGGCACGAATATGCAGTTTGCGGGCCAAATGGAAAATTTCTCAGTTGTTAGAAGCCATGTAGGCAGATTCTGTGGCACAAAAGCCACAGAGATAGCAAGTAACACGGGAAGCAAGCCGATTACCCTCCACAACTTCAGTCCAACCAGTCCCAGATGTCCTTCATTTCGCTTGCAGTTTTGCCACTAAGTAAAGAAGATTCAACCAGTTCCCTCCTCATGCCATGCATGTTCGTTACTCATCGACTAGCGAGAGATAGCAGGACCGAAGGTTTGGTCGATGAGGTATCAGAATATTGTCTCTTATTTTTGCATCATGAGCTGAACGAACTCGTTGTCTGTAGTCTTGTCAGTAACTGGACGTTGCTGTTATATATCTTAATCTCAAGCAACCCACAGTCGATTCGGCCATCGCCGTCCTGGTCAGCCTCTCGGATCATCTCATCAACCTCATCATCAGTGAGCTTCTCGCCGATGGAGGTCATGACATGTCTAAGTTCAGCAGCAGAAATGAAACCGTTGTTGTCACGGTCGAACACCTTGAAAGCCTCACGGATCTCCTCCTCAGAGTCGGTATCCTTCATCTTGCGCGCCATCATGGTGAGGAACTCTTTACCCAGTGGTTAGTACTGACCGTCCTCTAATCGTTTTGGAATACTACGCACCAGGAAAGTCGATGGTGCCGTTGTTGTCGGCGTCAACCTCGTTGATCATGTCCTGAAGCTCAGACTCGGAGGGATTCTGGCCAAGAGAGCGCATAACGGTACCGAGCTCCTTGGTGGTAATCTGGCCTAGAGCGACGCGTTTAGCTCATGTTTTCGCTTCAAGAATATCGCATAGACAGAGATGTAAATGATTTGAGTGGTCTGACGCATGCTTTGTTGGATCGATTTTGGGTTTCGCACGGGGCCAACGAAGAAACTTGGCGGAAAGGGGAGCATCACTCACCATCGCCATCCTTGTCCTACATAGCGAGGTTAGCGACAGCTTCTAGAAAGACGCGGCGAGGCAAGGCGGCGAAATAAAAAGGGATGGCTTACAAAGAGAGAGAAGGCCTCCTTAAACTCGGAGACTTGCTCTTCAGTAAGTGAGTCGGCCTACAGAAACAAACTTGTCAGTCTAAACTCTTGAACGGCATCACCAGAACATCAGTTGCAGCCCCTCTCAATAGAGCCGCGGGGTCAATGCTTATTGGCGATAGCGCCAGAGGACAAGGCGGTAAAGCAAATGCTGGTTGATGGGTAGGTCGCGCAACCAAGCAACGGACAGGTCGTGCTCACCATGTTGGATGTATGTGGTAGCAACGGTTGTGATGGTAAAAAAGGTGGATGTCGATCGCACGAGAAGGAAGAAAGATGACTTGGGCAAGTTCTGAGGTCGCGGGGTCTTGAGCCAAGAGTGTCGGACCTTTTCGTTTCACGGGTTTGGTGGGAGCTTTCGTGGGGAGACCCAAAGGTCAGGGGAAAGTCGGTACCTAAGGCATGAAAACGGTACATGCATTAACAAAGGAGAGATAATGCACTGTGTTTTGGATGTTCAGGGGGCTGGTGATCCTGAAATTAGGGGGAGGGACCTCGTCATGGCAGCTCAAGCACACTGTGCGGTTTGCCCAGAGTGATGCTTCGACTTCAGGCGAGCGGCATTTGTTGAAGCATTGTTCGGATAAGGCAGGGAAGAGATGATCTGATAATTTGCACACTTTGTGCAGTTTATCAAGTTATTATCACAAGTTTTTCGAATTAAAAGTCAAGTTTGACATCCAGAAATACACAGCTTGATTTTGAGTAATAGTGTATTGCGGTGATAAGACAAGAGTTCTGCTCTTAGCGGAGGCAAGGTGCCTCACCACCTCACTTTCGATGTACCTAAGGTACCTACCTCGAAAACAGAGCTACCTTTAGGTAAGTACCTACCTTAGTTACCTTAGGTACCTAAGGTAGTTAGTACTAGGTAGTTAAGTTAGAGGGGACACCTCTCCCCTGTCATTGTAGCCAACGGAATTGGTCCAGTGTCGTAATGCCTCCAGCCGAAGCCAGCTATCAGCCTCAACCCGCATCTCGACTCCATTTGCGATCTTCTCACTCATGACAGCAATACCTTCCTGACCTCTCGTCCTATGACGCTCACACTCGCGATTTAATATAGTCGAAGCACTCATTATATTGCCGCGCCTGACATAGCTTCAGTCCCTAATTTGCGTCCGCCATGTGGCGAGACCGCACGAACCTGTAAGACGCCCATTGTTACCTGTCATTGTCTATGGCTGTCAGCTTCACTTCCACATAGCGAGCCTATATGCTAATGCAATTTGCAATAAAAGATACATCTCCTACCGGCAGTCTTACGCGCATCACCCTACACAGCGAAGACCCTATGGACCGGGCGCCCTTGCTTCTGGTCCCCTTGCCGACGCCTATACCAGCAGCTATGCGAACGACGATCGTCGCGGCCTTCTGTCGGCCGGCGCGTTTGAAGACGATGGCGATGCCGTGATTGAGATGGATTTATTGCCCCCTCGATGGGCTGACATTTCGGATGAGATCACAGACTTGCTTGCCAAAATCGCGACAAAGGGCCAGAGCTTGGAGAAGCTACACCAAAAGCATGTGCTACCTGGTTTCAATGATGAAGACGCTAAAAGGGCCGAGGAAGCGCAAATAGAGAATCTTACACAAGAGATCACCAAGGGCTTTCATGACTGCCATCGCTGCATTCAAAGAATCGAACAAATGGTACGGGAATCACAGCACGCAGGTACCATCACAAAGGCAGAGGAGACCATGGCCAAGAACATTCAAATTTCGCTGGCTGCACGAGTTCAAGATGCAAGCGCTAGTTTCAGAAAGAAGCAGAGTGCTTATCTAAAAAGCTGGTAACCCCCCCGTTTCTTTCCGGTATCTTCTTCTAACTTGGACTCACAGAGCTTCGTGGCATGGGTGGCTTTGGCGGGTTGAGTCCTGGCGAGAGATCTAGTACACCACAGCCAGGTTCCTATCTCGACCCATCTCTTCAAGAATCTGACGCAGATCGATCTTTTTCACAATCGACACTCCAAGCAACCCAACAGCAGAGAGTGCTCCATTCTAATGATGCTGCGATTGCTCAACGTGAACGAGAGATTGAGGATATTGCCCAAGGCATTATCGAACTGTCTGACCTCTTTCGAGATCTCCAGAACATGGTTATCGACCAGGGCACAATGCTGGATCGTATCGACTACAATGTTGAGCGCATGAACACTGATGTCAAAGCCGCTGACAAGGAGCTAGTTGTAGCTTCTGGCTACCAGCGGAGGACGACCAAACGCAAGATCATTCTCCTCCTCATTCTTATAATCTTTGGTATGATCATTCTGTTGGTGATCAAACCCAAGAAACATGGGTAGAGGCGTTTTTCATGGCAGTTTCAGATACCCGCTGTCTCCCTTGGCATATCCCGGCGCGGGCATAGAGAGACAGCAATTATTAAAACACATGTACCAATACAATGTAAAGCAAGTAAAGTAATGGGACATGTCACTAATGTGTTTGGAGTCGCGGTTCTCTGTCCATTTTATTTTTTATTTTTATATATATTTATTATTCTATTTGGAATCGGCCTTTCTCTTTGGCCCTCAAGGCGCGTGGTTCAGAGGAAATGCGATCATCGTTATCATAACTTTTTTCGAAAAGCCTCGGATAGCTCTTCCATAACTTAGGCCTTTGCTTCTCGATCTCCAACGCCAATTGCGCCTCACTAGGGAGAATCTGAGAGCCCCAGGCCCATTCCACAAGTTGCTTCATGTTCGCTGGGGAGAGCTCTCTATCGTCTCTCGCCCTAGCCCTGGGCCTCATAGGCAATTGAGCTACTGCGAGACGATTTATTACTGTGCTTCGCACTATTTGGGGATCAACGTAGACACCCTTGTCTCTCAGAACAGCCAACATGCGAACACCACAAGCCAGGTCGAAGTCTGCGATTCCCACCGGTTTGACGTTTACGAGAGAAGGTGGAATTGGCTGTTGCGCCAAGGTCTGATCAAAGCCCCATCGAATGATGGAGCGTTGCAGACCGATATCGAAAATCTTCTGTATGGGGTGTTGTCTGTTCGTGAATGGCAGATCTGCTGGTATGCGAAATTGGTAGTTGGGATCGTTTCGATTCTTCGAACGTTTGTGATGTCTCTGTTTGGGATTTGTCTCGTTCTGGCGTGGGCCTATTTCGGCTCTCCAGAACTCCTCCTTAAAATGGCTCCTTTTCTTCTTCCCATCGGCGAAGGAATAGTATTCAGACCAAGTCTCTGACTCCCCCTCCAACTCTTCGGCTTTGGTATTAGGGCTGGGGGGCTGGTCCTGCCGATGCACGGGAATCAAACCCCCTGGTTCTGGCCTATAAAGTTCACATATCTCATAACTTAGGCCTTCTAGATCATTAAAACGTCCCAGACGTCCGAGGTTATGGAGCAATATTTGCCAGTATCGAACAGGAACGGCAACTCGAAGTCGTGCCACTCTCAACGAGAGGTGAATAGCTCGGTCAAGCGTGTGAGGCCTGTTGAGCTTTGGATGGTAACAAATATCTTCAAAGATGCGGTTTAGAAGTGCTTTCGAGTTTTCCCGCTCCATGGTTACATCCAGGCTTTCCATTTTATCAACAACACTCCTGACTTTCGCAAGACGCTTCATGGACAGAGCCATGCTCAGGTGCTTATTGAGATCCATGTAGATGATGTTGTCCTTGCTTGGTCCTGGAGTAGCTGCCACACCTTCAACCTCTTGAAGTAATCGCTCTAATCCCCAATCTTGCCGTTGAGCGGAAGATGCAAGTAGCATTGACCGCGTCTCTGGATTCCCAAACTCTTCTGGGTGTATATCGCAGTGTAGAAGGGTTCTGAGCAACTCGTCCTCACCTCGTTTGGCGAAGGAGATGATTGCATCGCAATAGGCTCCAGATCTTATTTTGATCCCCAGCTTTCGGAGTTGTGTCAGGCGATCAGCAACTCCGCGGGCGTCATCTTCTCTCAATGCAATGGATTGCAACGAATGATAGCTAATTGTGCGGAGGCCAATCTTATGCATCAGGTTGATCGCAAACTCTGGAGATGTCCAAGAGCTGGCGAACCATCGTGCTGTAAACCTGTCGCTAAAAAAGCTGTGCGTTTCCAGTTGGGTGTCCTTTTGTACAGAAGTACCAACGCCATCACCAAGGCAGGTGTCTCCATTAAGTACCGCCAGCTCTTCCTTCGTGAGCTGGATTGCGGAAAAGTAGCGGGAAAGGAAATCCAAGAAAGGTATGGACTTAGGCGACTTGGGATGGTCATTGAAAAGATTGAACCGTTTCCTCCAGACACGGGCGGCATGTGACTGGCCACTTTCAAAGAGAGCCGGCACAACATAGTCGTACAACTCACGGTATGGACTGAAAACGTATATCTTGGTCAAAGTACTCTGAAGCTTGGGAGTGAAGTCGATGGCACAACTTGCCAGCAGAGCACCGAAGCTATCCAACTCAGGACAGAACATGGGCATGAGTTTGAAATGCCAGCCCAATGCAGTTTCGTAATCAGCGTGTGCTAAATAGAAATGAACCACTTTCAGGTATAGTTCAGGCCAATTGAAGTCGTGAGTTTCTAGTAGTTGTGCTGCGACCTTGAAAAGCTCTTCCATCCGGTCAGAATTTGTCAACGCTGCCTCCAAGATGTTACCACGCAGAAACAGGGCTTCAGTCTTGGTTAAGAGATGCGATTGGTCTCTGTCCCGAAGCTCCAGAAGCGTTTGCCATGTTCCTTGGTCTCCACGATCCTGACGGCTCGTTAGAATGCGGCACTCCCAAAAGTATATGGCATCCAGATCGGACTTCTGGCCCGATGGAGTATCTTTTTGGCTTCGACGCAGGCGAATGCCCAGCGGGAAGGGTAATTCGGATTTTGGCGGCCTTTTTCCAGTCTCTTGTTGAATATTATGCTGTCTCGTCCCACCCCCAGCTTCTCGGCCAGAAATCAGCCTATCGTCTTTTTCGTATATTCTTGTAGATGCCGGTGCCAACTCTGTATTATACTGAGATCTTCGCTGTGTGAGTGTCCTGATGTATGGAGTACATGCGGATTGGCGCATTCGAAATCGTCTAGGGATTCGATGCATGGCTGGGTAAATAAACCAGCATTAGCTGGGCTCGTATCATCGCATCGGTTGTAGTCGAGAAGATAATAGTAAAATCATCGAGACTGTCTTAAGACTGAGACTTGAAGTTCTTCGATAAGTCCTTCATCATAGCTCCGAATCTTTTTTTTTTTTTTNGGGGGGGGGGGGGGTTGCGCATCATAAACTTGGAGCACTTTACAGTGACAGAGGTGCGCTGACACGTGCCCCCACCAACAGGAACGTCAAGATCTCTGCTGAGTCATACTCTTACCCGGCTCCCAATCAACTTATGGCCTCATTTCTTTACCCGAACTTCGACATCCTCCGTTCACCAACTCAACCACCCCCACACGAAATCAACCTTCGAAGCTTCCCAGAACTCTCATTAACCGACTTCAAAATGCCGTACGTACAATTGAGTCATGAACGATTCTCGCGATAGCCTTGACCACTTTCCCCGACGTCAATGGTTCATCCCGAGCTCCAGACACTGCAAGATATAACATCATACGAGAACCCGTCACTGACGCCCATCCAGTCTCGTCAACGCCAAGAACCCCGTTCCCCAGAACCAGCGATTCTACCAGAACGCTTACAAGAACCACACCCGTCTTTGGAAGATTGTACGACCAAATTGATGGTTTAGCCTGTCTTTTATCCAGCTGACCGACATGACAGGGCCCTCGCAGCCGCATCCTCATGACTCCCTACCTCATCCTCCTCTGGGGTACCCTCGGTGGTAAGTAAATCGCGGTTTTTGGTCGGACGGAGGTCAATTTGGGCTTGGATACTGACAGGTACAGCTTCCTTCTACGGTGCCGGTCGCAAGGTCCTTGGCTACAACTCTTACTTCGGAAACTAAGCAGTGGGATTCGCATGGTGGGTGACACAACTTGCTTGCTATGGAAGGCCAACGTGATTAGTAGATTGAGTCAATAGACGGAGATGAACCCAATGTGAGATCGTTACAGTCGTTCATATGCATTTTGGAGACCGATATCTCTTGTCAAACCGCGTCCGCTATTCACACGTCATTGCCATTAAACCAGGACTCCCAGAAATTTAGAATTACATGAAGAACTCAAGAAAGTTGCATGCCTCAAAAAGCAGCGTCTAGCGCGCACTGCAGCAGACCTGCGACTCTCCATCCACGGATAGTTGAGTCAAAATCCAACCAGGCTTGTTCTAATAGCCTGTAGCGCCAGGCGCCTTTTCGTCCTTTCGTAGGCTGACTAGCAACTCTCGGAATCGCTCCTTGCCAGATCCAGAGGCACCTCCCTTGGCGCCCTTACCGCTGACATCCACCAACTTGGCGATTCGGTCCCAGCTGGTGCCACCAGAGACGGTGTCCTCTCGGCTTGCCAAGAACTCTTCGGCTTCCTTTCGTGTTTGCGCGATGCCCTTCTCCTTCTTGTTGTTGTAGTTCTCGTAGAAGTCATCGATGTTCTGCTGTGCCTCCTTGATGGTCTCTTCTCGCTGCGCAGCGAATTGTTCAGCGCGCTTGGCAACCTGGTTGTCACGACGCTCCCGCCACTCCTTGACGACCTCGGGCTCTTCCTCTTCCTCGGCGAAAGCCTGATATCCGGAGTTGTAGCTCACGGAAGGTCCTCCTGTAATGGCGGTTCCACCGGAGACACCAGTACCCTGTTTGTTGAAGTCAGCTCCTCAATTCAAAGTGTCTAGGCAAACGACTCACAGCCTCAGGGTTAGTCAGGTCAGGGAACTGGGATTCGAAAGTGGACTGCTCGTTATTACCAGCGCCGCCGAGAAGGTCATCATCGTTACTAGCGAAGGCAGCAGCGTCATCGTTGGTCGCGAACTGGTCTGCATCATCTCCCAGAAGGGCCTTCTCGCGGGCGAGGAAATCATCGGTTGAGGGCTCAGCAGTAGGGTCCTTGATATCGGTTTGCGCTAGAAATACATCAGTGTTGGGTCCGCGCATTTCTTGTGTTGATGCACTTACCCCCGGAATCGAAGTCCTCGAGTGAAGGGAAACGGTCGGCCATTTTGGAAGCGCAGATAATTAAAGATCAATACTGAGTGTGTGGATATCGAAAGGTGCCTAAATTCTATCGGATGAAGACGGGGAAAATATGGAAAGGTCTCGTTCAGATGCGAGGATTATCAGTTTACGCTGTTAGAATGTATGGTCCTCCTATTTAGTTACTGCCAAGTAGTAGGCTATCCTAGCTGATGAGGTGGATTCTGCCGGGCGGTGAGAGACACATAACAGCATGAGCTTGATGGAGTGGGTCAAGTGCATGCACTAAGGCCATGTAGATATGCACTTAGAAGCTATTTCCACTTTATCGGATGTTTCTTCTGGTCAACCTAGCTCTTGGTCTATAAACTCTCCTTATTTTACCAAAGAAAACATTTCAGTCCATCACACATTCGAGTTACGTATCATTCTCGTTTTCGCAGCTTTATCTACAGGCGAACTGGATCGTACAAGGATCCGTGTTTGTGTTATTTGTGCGGAGACAAGTTAGCAGACTACGAACATTATTCCTGCAGGTAGCTGTAGTAGGCGTCGTTTCCACAGTGATACTACGGTAACAGCTACAAACCAGCTTCTAAATAATTGTCGCGACATCTGGTCCATAATCCTGCGCTTGCATTCGCTCTTGAAATTCGCTTTTCTTTGTTTGTTTCTCCTAACGAAGGCACCGTTGCTACCAAGATGGCTTACAACGATGACTCTGTGTTGGCGCGACTCTCGTCACTGAACGAAAGCCATGATAGCATCGCCACAGCTGCACAATGGATCATGTTCCATAGGTACGGTTTCTCCTTCATGCATCTCAAGAGATATGGTTGACAATTTCAGGCGCCATGCTGAGAGGACTGTACAGCTGTGGATGCAGCGCCTCAAAGACTCTTCCAGCACAAAACGATTAAGTTTGATTTATCTCGCCAACGGTATGTTTGTTTGTCAGCTGTGATGGGCTTTACTGATTACAGATTCAGAGGTGGCCCAGCAGTCTAAAATCCGACACAAGGATGACTTTATTATCGCCTTCGCGCCGGTGATTGCTGAGGCTGTTTCCGTCGCTTATAAGGGAGCACCCGCAGAGCTGCAGGCGAAATTGAAACGCGTTATAGACGTTTGGAGAGATCGCTCGATCTTTGAAGCGCCAATTCAATCCGCAATCGACGCCCGGATTGGAGGTGAGTACCTGCACAGGTTCAAACAGCTGGTGACTGACCTTTCATTCAGATCTCGACAAGTCCCGGGGTATGTCCAAGCCCGGATTTGGCAGCTCACCATTCGGTAGTACTAGCACTGCCGCTTCTGTTCCATCTGAATTTGCACCTCTGGTCACTGCTCACCAGAAAGTAAACAAATTGAGCATTCCTCTCAAGGCTACGATCACATCAGCAGACCAAGAGTATGAGAAGCAAACTGACCCATCTACACCTGTTCCCTCTGCTCCAGTTTATGCAGCTCGGTTGAATGGCCTCCTCAAAACGTTGGCCAACGCTGAGAGTGCAGTTGCTGAGTGTGTAAAAGCAAGAGAAGGCCTTGTTTCCGGTCTGGAATCACTCCTCAACGCTAACCGTGCTGCATTGGAGGACGAGAGGTCCGCTGCGGCTCAGCTGACATCCCGAAAGGCTGAAATCGAAGACAAGAAGCACCAAGTCGAGGTTGGCATCATGAGAGCACTGGGCCCGGCGGACAGCAATGGTTCTCCAGGACAAGGAGACTCTTCAGTTACGCCCCCAGAGCCAGACAGACCAGAGATTGAGGCATTGACTCCACCGGCATTTGAACCATTCGAAGCACCCACCCCTGAGGCATTGACTCCAGAGGGAGAGCCTGTTGCAGCTCCTTCTATGTCTCCTGTCCCTGTTCCTGCTGCTGCTACTACTACTTCTCAAGACAAAGAAGAAGAAGAAGAAGAAGAAGAAGAAGAAGAAGGAGTACCCTCGTATCAGTCATTGCCAATCTCAACCAATGGGTCGAATAAGCGCCGCCGTGTCGACACTGAAGAATTTCCTGATCTAGGTGGAGATGATGGTATCGATGCTGACGTTGCTGAAATGCTGAAGGGACAGCCTCAATCGTAACCGGGTCATATGTTATCAACAAGTTGGGGGGTTATTCGGCTTGTCAGTTTGGGGCTTGCTAATATGTTATGTTCTTGCAAACAGTTCAGTTCAGGTTGGACTAATAGATTGCCAGGAACGATCGGCACATACAATACTAGTCTAGTGTATTACTAAGTATAGTGAATTATTTCGTCTTGTTGAGTAGATAGTGAGGGAATTAGTAGAGCAATACTGGTCGCAGTCTCATGGTATTCAGAAGCGTCCAATCTGCTAAACATTATGCAACAGATGCTCGTCGGCCATATAAGAATTGCTATAACGAAACTAAATAACTGAAGTTCTTCTCTTTCGGCCTGCGTGATTATGCAACCTTTCTAGACGCAGTTAGAATTCGTCATGGCGCTCATGTTGGATCCGAGAGCATTCGGTTCAGTTCGGATCAATTGAGGCCGTATTCGCGTAGATCCGACCGAGGGGATGCTGCACACAGCAGAGCATGCACGCCATCTTAACGCGAGGGTCCCACCCAAATTTTTTGTGAGCAACGGATCCATTGACTCGCCTGGGCTGGGCTGGACTGGGCTGTCGCAACTCGGAAGCTGAGAAATGCCGCTACGACAATGACGGCATCACAACCTCGACAGCTTTGATTCCTTTTGTCAATGTCAACGTCTCTGTCAACTGCTTCACTACTGCTCCCTCACGGCTCGAGCCCCCTGCTTTTCCTCGAGCGATAATAGTGCCGCTCCTGAATATGCTACGCTGAGTGGGCGTCTGATCAATTCCTTCCCTACCGTCATCATGGTCTCGGGAGTAGCACGCCGTGTGCTGCTCCCACGCCTCGCCGAGCCCTCGCAAGTGTCTCTGGCTACATCGCGGTGTCAATTAGGAGCTTCGATGTACAAGTCTGAGGCTCTATCCCTCCAGTCGAGGCTTTTCCACGCTTCCAGCACCCGTCAAGCCGCTCTGCCTCCGTTCTCAATCGGTTCATTCCGGTCACCGGCAAATAATTCTCTACCTCGTAATCAGCTTTCCCTCGCGCACAGTCGACCCTCCCAGTTTGGTCACGTTTCGCACGCCTTGCGACAGTTCTCAACGGCACCTCGTCTATCCCAGGAAATACAGACCAAGGTCGAAGAAGGCGCCAAGAAACCTGTCGAACTTGAAGCCAATCGAGCTATCGCTCAAGATGAGCACAAGCAAGAGTTTACCAAGAGTGAAAAGGCTGCTCGGGCGGCGCAGGTCAATCTGGCTGCTAAGCTCTCCAAGGAGGGAAAGCAGGCTGGTAGGGCTGGTACGGATGAAATTGTGCGACTGATCAAGATTGCTCGCCCCGAAATCCGCTGGCTCGGTATCGCTTTTGTCTTTCTGGTAATCTCTTCTAGTGTCACCATGTTGATTCCCTTTTCTGTTGGCCGAATTTTGGATCTTGCTACCAAGGGCGAATCTGAGGATGTCCGTCTTTTTGGCTTGACGATGAACCAGTTCTTCTTTGGTTTGGGTACTGTCTTGACTATTGGAGCTATGGCCAACTTTGGTCGAGTCGTCCTTCTCCGAATTGTCGGCGAGCGTGTTGTCGCAAGACTTCGATCTCAGCTTTATCGGCGTACTTATGTCCAGGATGCTGAGTTTTTCGATGCAAACCGAGTGGGGGATCTTATTTCACGGCTCAGTTCCGATACAGTTATAGTTGGCAAGTCTGTGACGCAGAATCTCAGTGATGGTCTTCGCGCCCTCTTTAGTGGAGGTGCAGGTTTTGCTATCATGGTCTGGACAAGCCCCAAATTGACTGGTCTTTTGCTGCTTATGTTTCCTCCTATCGCAGTCGGAGCCTTCATCTACGGTCGCGCTATTCGAAATGTCAGCAGGTCGATTCAGAAGAACTTGGGTACTCTGACCAAGATCGCCGAGGAACGACTTGGTAACGTCAAGACCAGCCAAGCGTTTGTCGGTGAAGTGCAGGAAATAGGTCGCTACAACAATCAAATTCGGAAGATTTTTGCTCTTGGCAAGAAAGAGTCGCTTATTGCTGCCACCTTCTTTGCTTCGACCGGTTGGGCTGGTAACATGACCATTCTCGCGATGCTCGTCGTTGGAGGTGGCTTCGTACGCAGCGGGGCCATGTCACTTGGAGATCTCACCTCATTCATGATGTACACAGCTTTCGCAGGTTCAAGCTTGTTTGGTTTGTCAGGTTTCTACTCAGAGCTCATGAAAGGAGTTGGTGCCGCGAGCCGACTCTTCGAGCTCCAGGATCGCAAACCAGGAATTCCACAAACAGTCGGTGTTCGAGTCAAATCAGCACAGGGCCCCATCAAGTTCACAGATGTCAGCTTCGCTTATCCTACTCGACCTGCTGTCAAAATCTTTAACGGACTGGACTTCGAAATTCCTTCAGGCAGCAATGTCTGTGTCGTTGGCCCTTCAGGAGGTGGCAAATCAACAGTAGCATCTTTACTATTGAGATTCTACAATCCTACGTCGGGAACTATCACCATCAATGGCCAGGACATTTCTGGAATGAACGTCAAGTCTCTACGAAGGAGGATAGGTATGGTTTCTCAAGAACCTGTTCTCTTCTCTGGAACTATCGCCGAGAACATTGCCTATGGAAAGCCTCAGGCCAGCCGTTTCGATATCATTTCTGCTGCTCGACGAGCCAACTGCAACTTCATCAGCGATCTGCCTGACGGTTTAGAAACCCAGGTTGGTGCTCGAGGCTCTCAGCTCTCTGGGGGTCAAAAGCAGAGAATCGCCATCGCACGAGCTCTTCTTAAAGATCCTGATATCCTGATTCTCGACGAGGCTACATCGGCGCTAGATGCTGAGTCCGAGACTCTTGTCAATGAGGCTTTGGCTGGCCTCCTACGTGGCCGCAACACCACTATTTCTATCGCCCATCGTCTCTCTACTATCAAAAGATCAGACCAAATCATCGTTCTCAACAGCGAGGGTAAAGTCGCCGAGATTGGCAGCTACAAGCAGCTCGCCTCTGATAAGGATAGCGCATTTAGCAAACTCATGGAGTGGCAGATGAGCGGCGGTGAGGTTTCCAAGGATGGTGGCTCGACTGCTTCCCGGGCACATATAACAGAGGCCGAGGAGCTCGAGGATGACCTAGAAAGGGACGATGAGGAGGAGAATCTGGAGCACGAAGAAGAGAGCAGGGACGCAAAGAATGAGGAGAAGCGTTCTTGAATTCGGTCGGATGGCATAGAGCAGGCAAACTTCCCCAGAAGATGTAATACGGTCAGGGGGAGTAAGGCGAAAGATTAGACGAATCGTGTACACTATATATCCCGATATCTATGTCTGAGTCTCTATGACAGGCAATTGTCCTATCAGCAGCTACAAAGAGAACTCCACTCGACATGTATCTTTTTTCATTGGCGTCGGTCTGGTCTGGTTATTTAATCCCCAAAAATGGAAAATACGGGTGGGTAGGGGTAGGGGCACAGCCGTATAAAGAAAAGAATCTCGTTTTTTTTATCAACTTTGTGGCGTACAAGAATAAGAGGTCCATCTCTATTCTAGCCGATGTGTACTGCCTCGGGTCAACTCCATACCTTAGGCATATACCAATCATTACACTCGGGTATTTAAATCCAAAATTCATGTGCACTTTTCAAAACAAGAACCTGTCTGAACTCGTGCAGACTGATGGATGCATCGTAGAACTGTTGCGAATTCGAGTCACTAAACCGAAATCAGCGCGAAAAGAAATACAGGCATTTCCACAATCGAGCAGCTATAGAAGTCAAAACGAAGCCAGATTGTCCTTGTCGCGCCAACCAAACCTCGTTGAGGTTAGGGAATAGAGACCAATAAGACCAACTACACGTTAATAAGCTCTCGCTCGGTAACGGGTTTGTCACATGTGACCCAGTCTGGCTCAACCTAAAAGCATGACCATCTCAGCAAGGTCCCGGCTGATCTCTTAAATAAATCTTGTTAGTATAAAAAAAAAACATTTTGACATCTGAGTCGAAACCTGCAACGACCAAGTTCCTTGTTGCTCACTAATATCCTGCCTGCCCTTGGAGTCGTTAAGCATCCGTCTCTCTTAAGCGCAATGTCGACCGAGACCGAGGGAACTTTCGAGCTGGCAGATGCCAGCTTGCATACCAAGACCTGGACTGTGAGTATCAGAGGTGATCAGCCTTAATAAGTAAGCAGAGGCTGATGCGTCAACAGCCCGAAGGTCCCATCAAAGCAAATTTGGTGCATGTCCATGGCTTCAGCGATCATGTCGATTGGTACAATGACGTATATCGAATCGTAGCCTCGCATGGCATACAAGTATTCGGCTTCGATCAAAGAGGTTGGGGCCGAAGCGTGAAGCAGCCCTCCGACAAGGGGAATACAGGCCCAACATCACGCGTCATTGCAGATATCGCCACTTTCATTGAGAGCAAATTGCCTTCGGATGTCCCGGTCTTTGTTCTGGGCCACTCTATGGGCGGCGGCGAGGTCATCACACTTGCTGCTGACCCTCAATATGCCAAACTCGTGAGCCAAGTGCGCGGCTGGCTGCTCGAGGCACCATTCATCGGATTCGCCCCCGAGGAAGTCCCAAGTTCGCTCAAGGTCTTTGCAGGGCGACTAGCCGGTAAAATCCTTCCCAAGTTTCAGCTCAAACACGTACTCGATGTTGCCAACTTGACGCGAAGGCCAGAGGTAGCCAAGGGTTTCAAAGAAGATCCTCTGTGCCACGACACAGGGACACTTGAAGGGTTGGCCTCGCTCCTAGATCGCACAGGAGCTCTTCAGTCAGGTTCCGTGAGGCTGGGTAAAGAGGTCAGGTCGCTTTGGCTTGGCCATGGCGACCATGATAAAGCGTGCAGCTATCAAGCGGCCATAGATTTCGCACAGAAACAAGATATTGAGGACAAGACCATCAAGACGTACGTGGGAGGTTATCATGCGCTACATGTCGACCTGTGCCAGGAGGAATATGCCAAAGATATCACTGACTGGATCTCGGAGAGGAGCAGCCAAGACCAGAAACCGATCGAGGCCAAGCTATAGAGTAGCTATAGAGGATCTGTGGATGTGCGAACATCACTGGTTTCAAGCTCTGTTGTTTTCGAGATGGCCAGTATCACTCGATATTGCGCAACTGTTTCCAGCTTTTCCAGATAGCGAGACCACGGAGTATGTTAGTATTATAAGTCATGCTATGCTTTAGCTGGCTGCACATCATCACCCGACCACTTGTCTCTTGACAGGGTAAATGCGGCTATAGCTCGCAACCCAAAGCCAATAGATTGACTTTATTGATCAATAACTTCGGCTTCTGCAGTCTTGGCATCAATTCCTCAATGGAGATGCATCTGTCGGCGGGTCAAGGCGGACCCTTGTTCCGTATCCCAGCTCCGTAGACGCCCGAGAAACAGATGCTCTTAGAGGTTAGAAGCCACGGAACCCCGAAGCCAGCTCCGGCCGTTTCCTAGGCGTTTCGGGGCCGTATCTGAACTATAATTCAACGTCTCCCGCACTCGATTTCAACGTCTGCCTTCAACCGTCTTGTGTGGAACGATCCCCACGGCCTCGAAACCTCGCACATTGAATGACCCGGAAACGATGCTCCGTTGGGCTATTTCGGCTCGCGCGGGGAACTCGACTCACACTAACTCCAGTTGGCCTTCTGATAGCCCAGGGCGCTGACCATTGTAGCCAACAGACTCATGTGCTGTAGAGAGTGGAATGGATACACTCCCGTCCCCTAAGGTACCTATCAGCGTCCTTGAAATGGCAATCCACCAACAGAGGAAGGACAATCAAAGACGTTTCCTCTATGTTCCTACTCTTTTGGTGTGAGTCCACGTGGGAAGATGACTGGTTCAACAGTTGACTCCCACCGCAACTTATCAATCCTTTCACTATGCTTATATTACATATCCATACTGATATCATTAACTCAAATTATTCATTCACTGATGCAAGACTGGACGAGTGACTTGACCCTTTCTTGATCTTCCTGGCGATCACTCGATCTCATGTGTAGCTGACTCTTTGCTATTGATGTGACTCTGGAGATCACCGCCGCCTGAGGTTTCTTTCTTGCTCTCCCATCTGCATTGATTGCTTACCCATCAGGACAGCTGTCTTGCATTATCACAGGCATCGATATTGCTTACTCGATTCCCTGATATAATTAACCAAGAGACTGGTCACCCGAGCTGTCGCACTCTATCCCTTTCTTCATTAGTTGTGCATCATGACACCTGATAACAACAACCACGTCGTCCATCATCCACAGGCTGTTCACCCACGCTCTCTCGACCGTGCCCGCAGCAGTTCACGACATTCGACCACCCGCAATGGCTCGAGTACAGCTTTCGAGCCTGCGATGGCTGACGAGAATGAGACTATCGCTAGGAACGTATCTCATATGACTGATGTCGAGAGTCAGCTCACCGCCACTGGTCGTCGACAGACCAGCTGCCTTGATCATGATCCATATGGCCTCTCACGCGGGTACAAGACCGAGTCTGATCTGGAACAGATCAAGGCCAACACTTCACGGAAGCGCGATAGCCTCCCTGGCCGTAGATCTGTTCCCAGCAAGATGAGCCCCAAGGCAAAGGCTCGCAAGCTGCAGGGCTTCTACAAGAACCAAAATGCTGCCATTGATCGCATGCTCAAGTCTGTTGAGGAACATCGTGACGAAGCCCGCGACCAGCATGGCGAAGACCAACTCAAGTTTCGCATTGCTGTCTGGGGCTCTTTCGCGGCCAACGTTGCCTTGTCAGGAGTTCAGCTCTACGCTGCCATCTCTTCAAAATCTCTTTCTCTTTTTACCACCATGGCCGACTCCGTATTCGACCCTCTTAGTAACCTCACCCTCATTTTGTCGGCTCGAGCCATTCGCCATGTCGATTCTAGGCGTTTTCCTGCTGGTAAAGCTCGTCTCGAGACTGTAGGCAACATTGTCTTCTGCTTTCTCATGATCGCTGTCTCACTCATTATCATTGCTTTTGCTTGCCAAGAACTATCTAGGGGAGTCCAAGAGAAGGCATTCAAAATTGCTGCTGTTATGTCTGTCTGCTGTGCTTTCGCCACCAAGTTCGTACTCTTTCTCTACTGCTGGGCACTCAAGGACAAGTACAGCCAGATCAACATTCTATGGCAGGACCACCGCAACGATCTTTTTATCAATGGCTTTGGTATCTTGACTTCATGTGGTGGCGCGAAACTGAAATGGTGGATTGACCCTATGGGCGCTATCATTCTGTCTGTCCTCATCTCATGCATCTGGCTACACACCGCCTTTGGAGAATTCCTGCTCATCGTCGGAGTTACTGCATCTGTCGAAACGCAGCAGCTCATCACGTATGTATGTGTTACACATGATGACGCAGTTGTTGGCATCGATACCGTACGCGTGTATCACTCGGGTCCTCGCCTGATCGCCGAAGTGGACATTGTCATGGATCCGGCACAAACACTTCAAGAAAGCCATGATATAGCAGAGGCGCTGCAGATCAAGCTGGAGGATCTGCCAGACATTGAGCGAGCATACGTCCACATTGATTACGAGACGACACACAAACCAGAACATGCATTTAAGAAGGATATGTAGGTCTAACTACGGAATGTGTTTCCAGAGGAGTTCTGGGCCACGAAAGGCATCCTGAGTGGCTGGGGAGGAGTTTGGAGTTTATGCAGTGAGACAACTGAGTTAAATGCCGTACTTGGGAACACGATTAAGGGACATTTGTTCGTAGGGGGCTGAAGGCGTGATGACGAGACCCAACGGGAAGCAGGGAGCGATGGTGCAAATCATATCTTAGTTGGTTCTTGGGGTAGAAGCAAAAGCCTCATAATGCAACAGTGGCTCACGTGGACTATGCAGGCGAGAGCGTGTGATGCATATAATTCAAGCTGATAGCACGATTAAACTAGGTCGAGGCGAGCTAATGCAGATGCCGGCATTTCAGAGGCGCTAAGATCTGGGAACACACAAGGGGCATTTTTTTCTCTAGTAATTTCTATATGTCAAATTTTGAGATATGAAGTGAAGTGAGACAAACTGGCATGAACGGTTTCTACTCGTCTCGCGTGTCTTTGTCCCGACCTTACAGATTGTCTCGGTGCGCCCTGTCCGAGTGGCACACAGACTGATCTGCAAGACAAGGTACTAAGGGAGTAAGTCGCAGGAATCTACGTCACTTGTACAACTTTTTTCTTCGAGACTGGCATCTGGCACGGGCTGGGGAGATTTGAATGTCTTTATAATAGCTCAAGGGACGGGAAAGGGGTCCTGCGGCACGGACAGAGCGGGATTTCTCGCGCAGATAAACAATTCTTATGTTGAGCCTTTTAATATCTCAAGAGGACCAGCCTGGAATGGTTGAGATTACCTAGATGCACGTATCTCAACGGTAAGTCGCATACTCGCAGCAACTTACAAGGGGCAATATGTCCAGTTCGGGCTGTATGCAGAAGCCCGTTCCGAGTTCATCCCTGGAATTTTGATGATACGAGAATTGGAGATGTTGAAAAGCAGTAAGGAAACCTTGAGGTGTTATGCTTTGTGGATATCATCAGCTAAAAATGACCTGGCCAAGAAGTGATGAGGTCGAACCTACAGTCAGATACCTATATGAGAGCTAAGCTAACCTACTAGGTAGCTCACAGCAATCCAATTCCATCATGCTGCAGCCGTTGAAATTAGTGGCGATTCACTAGAGCCGCCACCAGCGGAAACCCGCCCCGAAATACGGAGATGCAATGTCCTGAGGTGGACGTCAGGCTGGGCAGGGAAACACCAAAACGGTCCCAGGTTCTGTGCAACTAATTGGAGGCTGTGAAACCTCAATTTCTTCTGTACGAACGTGGGGGGGGGGCAGTGAGTCTGACAGTAATTGGATTACTTTTTATCTGGTGTTCGTGCTGGAGTTGCCCTTGAACGGCAGAAAATAGAGTGAGTGTCTGGCCTCGGCGCTTCTAGAACTGCAAAGTTCCTCAGGGTCACTGTGGCTTGAAGTAGAGTTTAGTACCTGAAGGGTCAGACCCCGAGGACTCACTTTAGGTGTAACTTGAACGAAAAGAATGAGATTTTTGTTGTTCAGGTTACTTGCTGTTCATGAACTGAGGTGCACCATGCATGGTAAACGACCGGCCATCTCGGGTCAACCTACAGAGTAAAGGTCAAGAATATCACTAGTAACTTTACAGGGAGCTGTTTTGACATTCATCCGTGCCCTGTCCGTTGATATGTAGGTACTAGGTAGTAGGTAGGTAGTGATAGGTAGTGCCTCACAGGTGATGGATGTTTATGTGGGTACCTTAGTCCAAAAGCTAGGTAAGGTAGGTAGGCGACCTGACCGACCCACAGGAGCTAAGGTACGGATACTTTCCATGGATTAGGTAGCAGGGCAGGTTCCCCCTCCAAAATCGTCCGGGGGCCATCATCGGATCATCACATCAATTGGATCCATTGGATCTACGGATACCTCGAGTACCTCCCCAAATGGTGCTGTTGCTGCCATCCTCACATCACGCCTGACTTTTACTTCGCTCGCCTCTCCTCTCCTCTTCTGCCTCTCCCCTTCTCTCCTCCTGCTTCTCCTCCCCCTCCAACTCTATCCTAAACCTTTGGCTTCAGACAAAAGAGGGATACAGGTTACTGCAGACTTTTGTATTGTTTCAGAACCTAGTGTACACTAAGGATACATACACTGCAGTACCTTACCTTGCGTATTCTGTCTGCACTAACGCACCGCATCCTTGCTAGATCCAAACGAGCTCTCTCTTCCTTTTTCCTTTTTGCAGACTTGGACTTGGACCCCTCGCCTCGACTCGACGAACGCGCCTCTCTAGATCGATCTCAATATTACGACTTCTCTAGAACCTTCATCCATGGGTTGCTGACCGACATTCTCACTTTGCTGTAGCTGACTTGGACGATCTGCGCCGAGGCTCGTCTAGAGCTGGTCAACTCCTGTCCTACATCGCCATGGCTGCTCAAGGTGCTGGAGAGCATGTTTATGCTACGGTTCGTCCTCTGCGTGTCTGATCTTGCCGGCATTGCCTTTCTAACTTCCTGATAGCTTCTTCTGAGCGATTCCTATCTTCCTGGTTCGTCAATTGACTCTGTCGCTCTCTGTGACCTCGACTAATTCTTCTTTAGGCGCACTCGTTCTCGCTCACTCTCTTCGCGATGCAGGAGCCAGTCGCAAGCTAGCAGTATTGGTCACACTCGATACCGTGTCCGCTGACTCCATTACGCAGCTCAAGGTAAGCCCTCCCGAGTGTCTGCCCGTCCTCGAACCACCCAATGCTGACACAATTGCCCCAGAGGGTCTACGACTACATCTTCCCTGTGCCGCGCATTCGTAATGACCATCCGGCCAATCTGTACCTAATGAACCGTGGCGATCTGCATTCAGCGTTTACCAAGATCAATCTATGGAAACTCACACAGTTTTCCAAGGTTGTCTACATCGACGCTGATGTGGTAGCATATCGAGCTCCTGACGAGCTTTTCAACACGCCCCATCCATTCGCAGCTGCCCCCGACATCGGCTGGCCAGATCTTTTCAACACTGGCGTCATGGTTCTGGAACCCAATATGGGCGACTACTACGCTATGATTGCCATGGCTGAGAGGGGAATTTCGTTTGATGGCGCCGACCAAGGCCTCATCAACATGCATTTTGGTCAACGGTATCATCGATTGAGCTTCACTTACAACGTCACACCATCTGCACACTACCAATACGTCCCGGCGTATCGACACTTCCAATCAAGTATTAATATGGTGCATTTCATTGGATCCAACAAGCCATGGTTCGCTGGTCGAGATGCCCCTTCTGGCAACAACCCCTTCAGTGAGATGATAGGATGGTGGTGGGCAGTCTACGATAGGCATTACCGACATCAAGTAAGCTCAATATTCCTGCAGGCAGTGTTGTGTGTCTGACTCGTTTTCGTAGGAATCTTCTTCTGGCAATGCTTCTTCAACTACTCCATATGTCCAATATTTCACGAAGGGAGAATGGCACCCTCAGCTGGTCCACGCGCAGTCTTCTACCAATGAACACCACCGCTCCGTTTCAGCTGAGGGAACGCATCATTCAGCTCCAGATCACGGACGCCATGCATCTTGGGAGGATCAAGGCTCAGGACACCATCAATCAGAAGAATCTGGGCCACATGAAGGATCGCACCATGGTGGCGGATATCATGATGGGTCAGATTCTGGTTCGGCTCATCATGATCACCATCCTGCACCTCCTAGTGGTCGGCCGGTCTCAACTCCTGGGCATCACCATGAACAGCATCACGGACAACACGCTTCTGAACATCAGCACCATCACCACGAAGAACCGAAGAACGAGCCACCCCCGATTACAATGCATGATTGGGATGCTCAGAGGTAGGCATATCATCGTTGTAAATGCTGTGCTTGATTGAACATGGGACACTGACTTTGCCAGACATCCTCCTCCTGCTGATTCGAAACCCGAGGCTATGAACTTCCCTTCCACTCATTACGAAATGTCACGCGATACAGCCCCTTTTATCCCGCCTGAACGATACCCAAGTCCCCCAAAGAACATGTGGTATGAAGTACCAAAAGAGAAGCCAGCCCCACGATCAAAGCCAGCTCCAGAGATCTTTCCGTGGGAACGCAACCGACCTCGCCCAACCAGATCATTCCTTGGGGAACCAGAACTACCCGTGCCTGAACCAGAGCCTACACCTGCAGAGTCCGGCTCAGACCCTAGCACTGTGTCTACAACACAGCTTTCGGTGACAACTGAAGGCCTTACAGAGTCTTCTGAGGTGACAGCATCAGGATCTGGGGCGAAGAACGAGTCGAATGCATCTACTCCTATAGTGCAGATTACCCCATCAGACCCTTGGACGTCATACACACGCACAAACGCCTGGGATGAGGTGCCTGAGATCGAGCGGTACGTTGATCGCCTGCATGGTGGTCATCGACGTGGTAAGAGTTCGACCTCTACGATAGGGCGTGTGAAGAGCCCATCAACTGGCGCATGGAGGGACGATCGCAGCACCTTTAAGAACCGCGGCCTGAAACTCACCGATTTCCCGAGCGCTACAGAACGCCCCAGCTTGCCGGTCACACCGGCCCCAATTCATCGGCACTCGTTCTGGGCGGGAGACGACGGGGAACTTGAGGACGAAGCAGCAAAGAAACTTCCTGAGGCTGAAGGCGTGCCTACGCAGTCTGACTGGGTATGTGTGCATGGGAGACGTTGGAGACCGACAGACTGCCTGTGCGAGGTGACTGACTTGGTGCTACATCACCAGGATCCGCTAGCACAGCTCCAGAAGCTTGCTAAGCAGCAATCGGATGCGTTGTTAAAGAAGCTCGGTGGCGAGGGAGACGAGGGTCGAGAAGGAGGGGTGAGTCGAGAGATTCCAACACGTTCATTACCCTTTGGTTCGGGTGATGCCAAGTCACCTACTTATGTCGCGCAGTCTGCTGCAGGCGTGCTCAGCCCACAGCCGGTAAAAGGCGAAAGGTCGGCAGGCATCTTGCGTGACATGAGCAGTGGCCGTCTCGAACCTGAATCAACTTCACAATCGACTACGATTCCCGAG